AATCAAATCAACAAATAAAATTATCTTAATGTTTATTAAGTTTTTTCAAGTAAAAGTATAAATATCTAAATAGAAATATTAACCTAATTATTATATTATATTATATGTCTTTATTAACTTTTATTGTCCCACGGGCCGACCATATTGATATTTCTCAAGTCCCACTAATCATTAGACTTATTCAGGTCAGGCTAAAAAGTTATTTTCTTTAATGGGTTGCAAAAATCTTAGTCCAATCCTATTAAATCCTGGGTTAGGCCAGACCAGCCCAACAGGCCTAACCCATATTTGACGGTTCTAGATGAAATTAAGCAAAAAATAGCTCAATTTTACATTTGTTATAAAACTTGAGAACAAAAGCACGATGAAGAGAAGAAGAATATAAGATAATAGAAGAACAATATAAGCTAACTTTCTTTCTTTCAAGTGTTACTAAATCTTCAAGTGTATACAATATGATCCTTATACCTCTATTTATAGTGTAACATAAAGACATACAAAAGGTTAGTCATAAACATAATATTTTTACATGAATATAATGGGGAGGTTATGAAAGTGAAAGGTTACAAGAATAATTGTTATAAAGGTGGAGGTTATGAAATGAGGAAAGTAATAGAGATAATGGATGGGTAACTTCTTGGTGTAGTGGACATACACACTTTAATATTTTATAATACTCCCCCTTGGATGTCCATACATAATGTGCCTCGTTAAAACCTTACTAGAAAAAAATATGTGGAAAAAACTTTTAGTGAAGGAAAAAAAGTACATATATCTTTTAATAAGCTTGAATGTTGCCGTGTTAAAAACCTTTCCAGGAAAACCCATTTGGGACAAAATCATGGTTAAGGAAAAGAGTAAAACACATATATTTCTCCCCCTTATAAAATCTTCACTTTATATCTTGGAGACTATGCATTCCAATCTTATATCACAACTTCTCAAATATTGTTGTTGGAAATCCTCAGTGAATAAGTTTACAAGATTATCACTTGAATGAGCCTTTGAACATCTATCTCACCATTTTATTGAAGATCATGTGTGAGAAAGACTTTTGGTGAAATATACTTTGTCCGGTCTTCTTTTAATTGTATCCTCCCTTGAATATATATTATTTTCGTATATGATGACTGGAATATCCTCCGTCAAAGAAAAATCACATATTTTCTAAATATGATAGATCATGATTCCAACCAAACACACCCCGACTTACTTCATAGATCAATATTATTTCTACATAATTTAAAGAAGTGGTTATCTATGTTTGTTGAATACCAAGATATTGTTGTGCCTCCATATGTAAGCAAATAGCTCAATTGTGATCGAGCTTTATGTAGATCAAATAAATATTTTGAATCTACATAATCAAATCATTTCTGACACATGAGAGATTGATCAATTTTATTGAAGCTCGTCTTTTCTTCTCAAATAAAATCACACGTCTTCTAGCATCTACATAATCAACAATCTGTAAGTGCATGAATTGCACTAATATATGACATTTTAAATCATTTCATTAGATCAAAAAGATTATTTCTCTGTGTTAAGCAGTCTCAAAACATTGGGTACTCAATGGAATTGCTTTTACACCTTTTAATCCTTCAAAGATTTTCATTTAACCTTCATCGTCAAGTTAGACATAATAATCATTCGTTATGCATATCCAAGTATTCCATTTATTACCAGGCTGAAAGACGTCTTATTACATCCACCACCAGAGAATATATCTCTATTTAATAATGTCAAAATTTTTGCGAAAACCCTTTAAGCCCCGAGGCACAAACCGTACTTTATATCTTTCGATTGTAATTTTGCACAATGATCATTTGTACCCCACTGACATATATTTTGATCTATGAACTACAAGTTCAAAAACATAACTTTTGTAAGGGAAACAAAATATAGTTGAATAGTGCATTTTATTTGGCTAATTATTTATCTGTCCACGCTATATGATAGATTCAAATTTCAGATCCTCGTAACCATTTATAGCAGTGAGTGCTACTTTTTATCAAAAAATCGTCGACGGTCATTTTGATTTCGATTTCGATTCCAATACGACATAACTTATTGAGATCTCTTCATTTCTTTTCATCATTTTCAGGCACCTGAACCTTTGCCAAGGTTTTATAAAGTGTTATGTCATAGTGCTCTTTAAAAGCACTTGCCTCATTATTAGGACCATTTTGATAATTGCTCCTCTCCTTCCTCAAGTAGTCTTACGTTTGGAATCGATTGGTCTATCACGGTTCTGGCGTACTATAGACTTTGTCCTCCAAGGACTATTTATTCGAGCATTTGCAACTTAATCAAAATATTGGGTAGGAAAATACATCTGTCGAATTATTTACAACATTTTGTAAATGAATTATCTCTTGAACTTAAAGTTCACTTTCTTTTTTTTTTAACGAGACTTTAGATAATTTATACCACACATAATCTCAGCTGCTAAACATATCTCCCTCTAATGTTATGATATCTAGAGCTGTCAAAATGGGCTTGGTCCGCGAGGCCGGCGCAATCCAACCCTTGAAATGAATGGGGTTGGGCTTAGTATTTTTGGTTCATTTATGACCAAGGATTTTTAGCCCGCCCCATTTGGCCCATTGGCCTCGTAGCCCAACCCGCAAGCCTCTGAGATCAGCCCGTGTGCTATTAATTTTTGAAAAATATTTCTATATATAATTTTAATAGTGTTTTATTTGTAAAGATTTTATGAATAAATATTTTCAAAAAATAAAAAATCAAATATTTTGCAATATCATGTGGCATAGTGAATTGTAGATGTAGATGAACTTCTTAAGGAAATAATATCACATGTTGATTCAAATGTGATCGATGGTAGTAGTAGAAGCGGAGTTGTAAAACATTAACTAATGAGTAATGTAATATTTAGAAATTTAGATTCGTTAAGTTTTTAGGCTGCCTTATGTTGCTGGAAATCTTTACCATCTAGTTTTTTGTGGGAGAACTGATGGAATGATCAACATTATCCGCTAAATCTCATGTTGGTTATTATGAATTTTTGTAAGTATTCACCAAAGTGTGTGATTCATAAATGTATTTTTGTAAGTATTCACCGAGTGTGTGATTTATAAATGAATTTTTGTATGAATTGGTGTCGTGTTCATAGAGGTCAACATTTGATACTCTTTCTAAGAGAGTAATGTTGTTCATTTTTTGGTTAAAGAATCAACCCGTCCCAGTCCATGGCCCACTTTAACCAGCCCATTTTGACACCTCTAATGATATCTAACATTTACCCCCAACCTCATTCGGGGATCCATCTTTGTGTGTCGAATAATAAAATCATATGTGCGCATATTAAATTTTTAGATATAAATTATTTGATTTCTGACCCTGAACCAATTGTGTTGGGAGAGACTTGTTGGCTTGATGCATACATGTTAAATAAACTCATATCAAATTAAATTTTATTTGAGAGATTTATTCTCCTAATCAATGGTCTAGCTACAATTGGAGGCATACAATTTCTGCTAAACCAATCAGCATTATCAACATTACTTTATAATTTGGAACTGTGCTCTTAATTTAATAATTCGAGCAAACAACCTTACAAAAATCAATTTGTAAGTTGATGCAAATGCACATGTGACCATACCATAGATGATTCTATTAAATCATAATAATAAACGGTCCTCATGGCAGGTGAATAGACCCATATTCACCTTTTTATATGTTTCAAATAATTTTAAGGGATATAATTTCAATCTTAGCTGGTACAATAATCATTTTGTCACTAGAACAAGCTACAAAAAAGAATTCTTGAAAAATCTTTTTCTTCAACATATAGCCACGTGAATTCTCAATTTCTTTTGCATCACATTTGATTCGTAATGGTCAACTGATTATGTCAACTAATATTTATTCAAGTATACTTCTAGTTTACTTTTGCATGTGATTCCATCACCATGCCCATATTTGTATACAACAAACAATGGAAAAAAATGGATAATTTTACACGTAATATTTATTACCCACTTTGATTGTAGTAATTTGAAGATATTAAATCTTCCCATAATTTATAGTATCAATATAATTTTTTTCAGTTCTTTCGAAACATAAAAAGTTTCTTTTGAGACTTACTACAACCCTAATATTATAAAGGCAGAATAGTCTGGTGGACCATCGTACTTGTATCAAATTGTACTATGGATTCTTCTACTTAGCTTTTTGTCATCTGGACCCTTATACTCAACATAACACAATATATTAAATCCCTCTGACCATTGATCATCCTTATGTGACATTAATATTGATGAGTATGCAAAAGAGTGTTGTCACAGGCCTTCAAAGGCAAGTGAGCATGATATTTGAAATTTCAACTTTTACTTTTAAGTTGTTAAAATTATTTTTTTAAAAAAATAAATTTAAAAAGGAAAAAAAACTCATCTTCTTCCCCACCCTACCTCCATCTTCTTCCCTAAACTATCTTTTTTTCAGTCACCCCAACGCCAACCTATTTTTATTTCATATCCACACCCTATTGTTATTTATCTTCATTTTTCTTTCACTTCTTTCTTTTTTTCCCCATCCATCCCTATTTTTTTCCTCTTCAATCATCACTTTCCCCTCCCATACCTGAATTTCTATCTTTCTGCCTTTCCTTGCTCATTTTCAACTTCTTTCTTGTTTTTCTTTTTTTTTGTTACCCTAAATAAAAAACGAAATTGGGCAAAAACTTTTGAACATAATAAGCAAAGAAAAATCAGAAATTAGTGGAGTTGTTGATATCTCTAATGAGTAACTTTACTTCTTTTGGTGTCAAAATTATTCTTGTATTTGTAAGCAATTTGGGTGTGAAATAGTAGATAACATTGGATTATGAAAAGTTTGGTTAGATCTGGTTGTTAGGTGGCTTGGTTGTTGTTATTGTGGTTGTTAGGTGACTTGGGTTGTTGTTACTTTGATCTTGCCGGTAAAAATGGCGATGACGCCGACAAAACTGGATGCCGTCATAAAAAAATGGAGACGACGCAATGGCTCCATCTATTTCTCCGGCATCGACGAGATCCTCTACCTTGTTCGGACCAGTTTGTATTGCTATCCATGCCGAAAAATCGAAAATGCCATATTGGGTTTTACAATTAGATTCTAATGGATTTTACGACGCCGACTTGGTGGTAAAATAGTGAAAATAGAGAGGATTAGAAATGTCAATAATAAATTAAAATGACACTAGCGGGGAGTGAAGTAGTTTCATGACTTCATCAGATTGTTGGATTGTGAAAAAATCGAAAAATAAACAAAATGGGGATATGGAGATGGTGGAGTTTTGACAGTGATGGTGGGTTAGGGAAGGTGGAGGAAAGGTGTACAAAAATAATAATTTTATTTTATTTAATAAAATAATTTTTTTTAAAAATTTGTCTTTTATTTAAAATTTTTTACTAATAAGAGGTCAAATGTACTACCACTTTGTATTCCCATCCTTTATTTTGATGGAGAATTTTTTTCAAATAAACTTTTTAAATTGGGTTGCACCTACAACAATGTGCCCAACTTTTCATACCACTTTGATGGATTAAAATTACATTTGATAGTTACCTTCACATTTGAAGGAACATCTTAAGAACCCATAATGTTCTTCCTTTTAATTACCACAATGATGACCGTTAACATTTTACCACACCCATGTTCATACATTCAATCACTTGTCATTTTTCAGACAAATTAATACACTGCTACAACATTCATATAAGAGAATGGAACAAATTAATTGGGTAAATTTTATTACTTCCAATCAAAAGTATAAAACTTTATGTGAAAAAAAGTCATTATCATATCATCACTACAGTGCATTAGGACTTAAACTCTATGTATTACCTATATAAAGATACCTTTGGTCATAAATCAATAGGACTTGAACCCAACTTCTTATTATCATGGTGAACCAAGACTTTAACTCGATGTTTTATCCACTTGGTGCGGTCAAACCTGAATTGACCACCTTACCCTCGACCAATGCCTTAATATACCAAATGTATTATCAATTTTTTTTAATCAAAAATCATAAATATAATCTGAACTTTACTTCATATACAAGAAAAATGAATAAAATCATTTAATTAGAGCAACACGTCAGTCATATAAAGTCCCAAGTTAATATAAATTCAAACATTTTAATACTCCCTCTCAACATTGTTATGAAGATTATTATATTTTACAAATAATTTTTAGAATAACTACAAAACAAGCTTTTGTTAGTACAAATAATATATAGGTTATGAAGTGTATCATGCAACCAAAAATATTACTAGTATAATTTATAAAAGTCACCTACCATTGATTCTTGACGGAGAATGAGCAACTCGTGTTGATAACGTGTTATAAAACTTAAGAACAAAAGCAAGATAAAGAGAAGAAGAATATAAGACAATAGAAGAACAATATAAGCTAACTTTCTTTCTTTCAAGTGTTAACCAAATCTTTAAGTGTATACCTCTATTTATAGTGTAACATAGAGACATAAAAAATATTAGTCATAAACATGACATTAACATAAATATAGTGGGAAGGTTATGAAAATAAAAGGTTATAAGAATAATGATTATAAAAGTGAAGATTATGATCATCTTCATAATAAGCAAAGTAATAAAAATAATGGGCGGATAACTTCTTAGTGTACAAGACATCCACGCTATAATATTTGATAACACCATTCAAAAATCTTTTTGATTTTGTAGTTGTATCTTTATCTTTGGTTGTATTTTGTCGGAACTTGAAGAGTTTGAATTGATTTTGAACTCTGCTGACATCTGATAAGCTAAATGAAAAGCCTCACCCATTTTTGTGGTCCGTAGTGTACACGATATCTACCACTTGCGGCACCTCTGACATCGACAACTTTTACCACAATCACACCAATTTTATTTTACTATATTTCTTTTGTCCTAAATGGTCAGTTAAAATATCATAATTTTAATCTCTGTGTGTGTCTCTCTATATATAGAGAGATAGTTGTAAAACAAAATCAATGAGATGAAGTATGCAGTTTGGTCTTAGGTGATTTAGAAAAAAGCCAATCAAGGGAGGGTGTGAAATGTATATGATATTCAAGGTATTTATCAGCGGTGGAGAAATTGTTGAAGAAGAAGGCGAGTGGGATAATATTTCTTTTCGAAGATTGATTTATATCTATTCAATTAATTGTAGCATTTGAAAGAGGTGAGTGGAATGGAAAGTGAGATCCAATTTGTAAAGTGCGCGTGTTGTGGATTGACAGAGGAATGTACAGAGTCTTACATAGCGAGAGTTCGGGACCGGAATGAAGGGCGATGGATATGCGGACTGTGTGCAGAGGCTGTGAAGGATGAAATGGTGAGATCCAGAAGGATTGGAAGAGATGAAGCTTTGAATCGACACATGACATTTTGCAAGAAATTCAGAGCAAAGAGTTTGCCTCCCAATCCGACAGGTGAATTGATATCAGCAGTGAAGCAGTTGCTGCTCAAGACCTTGGATTCGCCTACATCAAATACGGTGAGTAGACGAGCTTTGGTACGATCGCAGAGTTGCTTTGAATAATCGGAGTATAATAATAATAATTGAAGTAAATAGCATTCGGTTTGAATAAGTATTTATTGTTATTTAGTGAAATTTATGTATTTGTATTGAATCAATTGTAGTTTGGCTAAGATCTACTATTTCATTGCACATCAAGCTAAGTATCAAGGCAATGGATATGAAAATGTTACTACTACTTTTCTGTAATCAATAGTTTCAAGTGCTTAATTTAAGCAATTATTGGTCCGACAATGCCAACATATTCTAAATTGGAATTTAGAGCAATTTAATTTTACAATGATTGTAAATCATACTGTGCAAAATCTAGTAGCCATCAAATACTTGTAAAAGCTTATGAGAGTGATCTTACCTAGATGAAATGGAAGCAAGAATGATTTGCCAAGCCTTAACAAGTGTTTAATAGAATAATGATCAGACCAGTTATGGTGAATAAGCTAAGAGTATTGGTCAGTCGAGAAATTTGCATGTTTCAAATTAAAGATGAGAGATTGAAATGAACGCGTATGTGGACATAGATCGACATACGATCAGAAATTAAACTACTTAGGACAAGGTAGAAGTGATAAGCAAGATGAGAAAAACAAGACTGAAATTCAGGCATATATACGAAAGATGAGGTCGGAGAGGTTTGCTATAGCCTATAATGAGTATAAAGAGAGGTAGATGTATGCCGAAAAAGTTTTGGGAGATATGATTAGATAAGATATGGATCACCTACAAATTACAGTAAGGCCATGATTCTAAAGAATAAGGTATAAAGGTCGAGCACTATAGTATGGTAGAAGGTTATTAGATAGTTAAATGTTTTCTAATTCCTTAACAATACTGTTATTATAGGTCACTTACTACTATTTTTTTCCTTTTGATTTGAAGTAGTACCCGTTTCTTTGCTTTGATTATCATGTAATTTACTCTTGCTACTTTTTCTCTTTTTAGATTATTTTCAGCATGACTTTTTTATTATTGTATTTGCTTTACACACTTGAGTTTTAATATACTTACTCAGGTTCAGGGTATATCGGAAATACCTTTTCTATGAGTATGTATAGTTATTTTTGTAATTTAATAAATGGGAAAAGACATAAATTTCTCCTAAATTTGTTTCAAAAAGTTAGTTACACGCTTAAACTATCGTGACGAATTATTACACTCCTTTACGACTTAAAAGTGAATTTAATAAAATCCTGAAGCATGTAACACTAATCTCACAATATGTGGCATATTACACTCGTTATCATATTAGCGCTACATCAACACCAAGTAAAAATTAGAAATAATTGTTATATCCTTTGTGTTTTTCTTTATTAATTAACTTTTCTTTTATTGAGTATATTTTACAGTAATTAATTATTAAAATTCTCTAAAAAAATATTGATAGATGTATGTTGGATTATTTTTGGAAAAAAAAGTACTATATTTTAAGAAGATTCCAATAGGATTTTATAATATCTTTGGGAGTCCTAGCAATATTGGCAGTAACTATCCACTCTCTACATATCTTAGTCATGTAGTCTATGTGTCAATGGAATTCAAGATGGTAAAAAGTGAGACAACAGAGTCCTTAAAATACTGAAGGGAATATTCCAAATTCTAGCAAGTTGCTTGATACTTTGGTCTTTGAGACATTCAAGCCATAAGTAGAGAAACAAGATACAAGTTTCAATCTACTCACTATTCACCATCGTATTAGCTTTATATATTTGATTCTTACTTACTCGGATCAAAGGTTTATCGGAATCAATCTATATACATAAGATTTGAATAAAATTATATAAACACCACTCTCCTAAACTCCATTTATAAGATCATATTGAGTATGTATTGTTGTTATAGTTTAGTAAATCTAAATTTTTGGTAATGATACTTTATACTGTAAAAAAGAATTTTTCTACTTCTGTTTTGCTTCTTTAGTTTCAAGAATCAAAAAGTTGTAGCTTATTTTTTATAGAAAAATTGCTTATGTTGTTGCTCAAAGGCTCTTATTTTATTTTGGCTACATTCTTCAACTTGTTTTTTTAATTTTTGTTTTTATTTTATTTTTTATTTTTAAAAAAACTTGATCAAACATGCTATATATCTTAAATTCTCACTTTTCAAATTTGGAGAGGACAATCGGAAATCTTCCCAAGTCATGATACATCAAGTAGGTTTTGCATGTATCATAAGTAAGGACCGTAGGAGTATTGCTCAAACTCTATAAAAATATTGATCGATCAATGTATGCTGAATTTTTTTGAAAATAGTTTATTTTAATGAAACCAATAAGATTTAATAATATCTTTAAGAGTCCTAGCAATACTATTGATAGCAACTAGGCACCCTCTGTATATCTTAGTCATGTAGCTATGTGAGATTGGAATTTAGAGACAACAGAGTCCTTGCAATACTTAAAGGGATATTCCATATTCTAGCAAGTTGTTTGATACTTGAGAGTGATTCTGAATTAAATCATAAGCAGAGAAACAAGATACAAGTCCCAATCTAGTTATTGTTAATGTGAACAATTTATTGGAGAATATTCCTTGAAAAGTTGTAAATATTATTATTATTTTTATGCTCAGCAAAAAGTATCATATAAAGTATGCATCACAAGTACATGATATTTTTGGATGGGGCACACGAAGAACGCCTAGTTATTGGTTTTTTCCTACTAAGTTGCTTCAATTTAAGGATTTGAAAGATTTTTTGTCATTTCAAATAAGGTAAGAGTACAAAGTTATGGACCAAATAACTCAATATATATGTTAGTAATAGATAAAATTCAACATAATATACATTCTATTCTTTCCCAAATCCTACTTGTGAAAATATCTATAGGATATACTGTCGTTTTGTTGTTATATTAAAGCACATGGAAAACAGTTACAACGTGAAATAAGTAGTAATTCATCCGTTTACTTTTACTTGTTCATTTTAAACTTTGCACGTTTCTTAAGAAATAATAAGTGTTATATCACAATATTCATATTAATTTATGTGTTGTCTTAGATCTTGAAATATAATTGAAGTAATAAATAATTAATATTAAGGATAAAATATGAAAAGAAAATTCTCTCGATATCTAAAAGTGACAAGTAAAAGAGAAAATACGTTTTTAATATATTGGACATGTAAAAATTGAAAAGGAGGTGATATTTTTCGGGAGGAAATGACCTTTTAAGATAAACGATTTACTGTTTTGTCTCTTATTTAATTATTATTATAAAAATAATTATGAATCAAATATTTCATGTTACCTTTTATTGAAAATGCTAATCTTTTCGATAGAAAAATATTTTTAATCGTCAATCAACTACTTTAGGAACCAAAGAATCTTCATTTATGAAATCATCATACTCATAGTTTATTTCACAATTATTCATTGACAATCATTGATTTGATTCCTTACCAGTAAATTAGTACAGCTTTAGATTCCATGTGATCATCAACATTAGCAATTATTACTGTAGATAAACAAAAAAAAATATTTTTGGCATTGTTTCTGTTGTCTTCATGCCTAATGTTGAACTGTCAAATGGAAATTAATGCAAAACTAACCTACAATCCAATAAATAAAATTGAGCTGGCATTGAAAATATTAATGACACCATATAGAATAGAAATCAGTTATGATAAGGTTCACATGCAATACAGGTTGGTTTCTCCAGGTGTGGCAATTGTTTTCTATTGCTTGACATGAATAATAATTTTGAGCAAAACCAACATTTTGATATGTAACTCCTAAAACGTAGTTTGTTTTTAATTTATACGTAAATATAATAAGAGAGGTAAAAATTGTCATCATAAAAAATAATATTTATCATTTGTTATGAAACTATAAAGTAAGAAGAAAGGATAAAGTAGGTAGAAGAGAAAAAAACTTATTTTTTCTCTTAAAGAAATGAATTTACAATGAAAGGAAATACTTTAATTTACAGGGTAAACTAACTTGGTTATCAAGTAGAATTTCTAATTTTTTTCAAAAGAAATACATATAATAGACATTCACTAGAATACAAATATGTTTATAACACTCTCTCCATGAATATTTATATGATAGATAACGTGTCTTGTTAAAAACTCTATTGAAGAAAAAGAGTACACATATCTAATAAATGCATCTAGGCTACCTCATTAAATACCTTACAAGAAAAACTCATTGGGACAAAACTTCATAAAGAAAAAAGATTACAGTGCATATTAACTCCCCCTAATGAGACATTAATCTAGAGAGTTGAATCTTTGCATTTCAAGCTTGTGTACCATCTTCTTGACAGTTGCAGTTATGTCATGCCCTGAGCCTATACCCTGAGCATGATTGACACTCGTGAATCATTGCTTGAACCCAAACGAACATTTGGTCTGGCTCAACTCTCAGCGAAACTAAAAGATATAAATGGAATCCTCTGAAAGTAAGGAGACTCACCAAAGCTAACTCAAGTAGTATCAACGAAGCATCTGTTAACGGCCCTAGATACATGTATCTGCATCATGAAACATGCAACTCAAATGGCGTCAGTACATGGAGTGTACAAGCATGCAAGGGGAACTCTAAAGCAAAGACATACGCTTGAACTGATAAAAAGGAAGAATATACTCAACTCAAGGATACTCAAACTCATAAAATACTCAATTTAGTTTAATATAAAAAAATAGAGATGCATTATAAAGAAAGCTATTAAAACAGTAGATGATAAATCAATGTATTTAAAAACACAATAATTACTCTTTACTCTTATTTAGGAGATTCTCTAACCGACTGCCATCACTATAAGTAATGTAAATGATGCATCATCTCGCCAACGCTGTCAGAATTGTCCTATACTTTGCCGGAGTATGAGACCTCCTCAACTAAGTGGATCCATTAAGTTGTGCTTAAAAAGCAATAATGAATTATCTAAAAAGTATGACCTTTTCTACCTACGTTGGCATACATGGTTTATATGAGGACTTTGAGTTGTCTGAACTCGTCTCCATATCGTTTCTCTATACTACTCCCAGTAGAACTCATGCTCATATGT